GGGGGGGGGGTGAGCGTGTGATGCCCAGGGAAGGCCTGGGGGTAGGACTCAGGCCCTGGGGGGCACAGCCACCCTGTGGCCACAGCCTGCCACCGGAGCCTGGGGTCACACAGACCCCTCACAGGGCTACTCTTATCATGATTCTCCGCCTCCATGGGGTCTCAGGGGCAGCCACTTGCCCCACCAGCCCTCCCTCCAGACCTGGGAGACCCAGCTAAGCAGAGGAACCCAGCACCGGGAGGATTTCGTTAAAGACCTGCTACGCGCCGGCTTCCCAGCTTAGACCTGGGGCCACGGGCGGGCCTCTCCCCTCCCCCCGCGAGCTTTTCCAGCCGCCTGCTCTGCCCCTCGGGGGCTGGAGTCCCAGGGAGGTGCGCCTGGGGAGCTCACGCTGCGTGGAGAAGCCGCTGGTCCCCCAGACCAGCCCCCTGATTAGGGGAAACGCCATCGGTGTCTCCTCAGGGAAGGAACGTTGAGTCCAGAGTTCCGGAGGTTCTGAGCTCCTTTGCCTGCCAGTAGCACCTTCCTTCATGGAGGCCGCTGGACCAGAAGTTTCCATAGGGCTCCCCTGGTCCACCATGAGGATGGTCCCTGGGGGAAGAGGTGGCAGAGGGGTTGCGTAGACCCAGGGTGGCCAATGGCAGCGGCTGGCCTTGGCCGACTGGATCCTGGTCACTGCCAGCTGGCTTTTCCTGGGGGCCGTTGGGGCCAAGCACCATCCTTCCGTGAACTCGCATGTGGCTGGGACCATCATCCCATTTTACAGATGAGGAAGTGGAGGCTCAGAGAGGACAAAGGTCACACAGCAAGGTCGGAGCTGGGCTCAGCATGTGGCACCGCCACCTGTACCCCCCACTCCATCCCCCGCTCCTGATGAGCAGAGCGCCAGGCCACACAGGCACCAGCCACACCGCCTGAGCCCCACCCACCTCCCCCTCCTCTCCTCTCTGTCCAGCCCCTGCCTCTCACCCAGAGACCCAGCCTCGAGGACCAACGGAGCCTTGGCTTCGAGCGCAGACACATACCCCGTGTATCCGAGGGTCAGGAGGAGTGCTGTACCACCTGGGAGCACGAGTGAGATCGGGGAGCAGAGGAAGGACGCCGCAGGGGTAGTCCCTGCCTATGCAGAGCTGCACAGGTGCAGGCTGAGGGGCCGGGCAGGTGGGACGGCGGCACGGGCAGCCGACCTCAGAGCTGTCGTGGATGCGCCTGGCACCATCGCAGAGCGTCTGCCCAGGGCTCAGCCGGCAGGCGGCTTTTGGGGGCCGCCCACTGGCACTGACAGCAGGGCGGTCCGCAGCCACCCCAAGGGGCTTGGCCGGGTTGGTTTGTTCTCCCATTTCGTGGAATGCTACAGTGGGGCCGGGGGCCAGGATCCATGCGCATGGAGCGCCTGGCCCACCTGTGTGAGCAGTGGCTGAGGCCACTCAGGGCCAGGCCCCGGGCTGGGACACCCCCCCCCCCCGCCATCCCGTACTTACTCCCACAAGGCGTGGCTGGGAAGGGGGCACAGTGACTGTGACGTTCTCCATTGCGTCTCAGGCGCCTGATGGGGAGACCTGGGGCCCCTTGCAGGCTGCAGACCATCGTTGGGGTTCTCTACGGACTTTGCAAGGGTCTGGGGGCGCCCAGCGTGACCAGCGTGGGTGATGTCAGTGTGTGTGGCCCAGAGCAGGGGGTTGGGTCTGTTTTGCTCCATTATGAAGCCCCATCTCCACGCCTAGAAACCACACATAGGTTTTTCAGCTGATACAGAGTGAGCAAGTGGATGGCTGGCTGGCAGGTGACCATAGTGTGGCCAGCACACAGCGGGTGAGACTTTGTGGGCTGTGGATTGGTCTTGTTGGCATGGGGTAGGTGGGCCATCAGACACCAGAGCAAGTCTTCAAAGGAAGCTATAGATCCCTTTCCAGCTGGGGCTGCAGAGCGGCACAGCTTGTCCCCATGGGGCAGCTGGTGCCCACGAAAGGTGGCCAAGGTTTGATGCGGGGGAGGGCGGCACCCTGGCAGTCACCTGCTCATTCCCGGGACTTCTCTGGGAGGCTGGGTGCCGAGGTTCACTTTCCGAGGTGTGGGAAGCTGCAGAGACTTTTCTGTCAAGAAGCAGAAAGACTCTGTGAATATTTCATTAGGGGAGCGCTGTGCCGACCGTGAGGAATGTCTGGCAGGGTCTCCAGGGCGCTGGGACCCGGTGCAGGAAGCAGGAGAGTGAAATGGGGGTGACGGGGCAGGAGGCTCGGAGGCAGCGGGTGGGACGCCAGCCTCTGCCACCAAGGGTGGCTCTCGCGTCCAGCCGCCCGGGGTCCCTCGTGCCCTGTCTGTCGCCACGCTGGCGTGGGCCACCACCCCATTTCTGTGGACAAACACCTGCTGGCATGGGGGTGGACGTCCTGGGCCAGCTTCCTCGTTTCCCCCAGCACAGCTCCCATGGCCCGTGCTGCTCCACTCAGGCCCGTGGCCAGGTCAGAGCTTCTAAAGGGGCAGGGGACCCCAGAGTGGGGCTAGACCTGGGGTCGGAACCTCTAGATGAAGCCACAGAGCTGGGGCAGCATGCGACCAGGGGCGCCCAGGCAGGCAGAGAGTGCCCACCTGGAGCTTGAGGGGGAGGGGAGCTGCGGTGGGGCGGGGGTCCCTGCACCCTTCACTGGGGGCACAGTGGACAGGCACGGTTTCCCAAAGCCCCTGGGGTTCCGAAATCTGCTGAGAGCTCAGACCGGGGCTCACCTGGGCCAGGCCAGCACCTGCCCTGCTGGTGAGAGTGTCAGGGCCAGAGATGGCGAGGCCTGGGGGCTGGGACGGAGTGACACCTCCGGCCTCAAAGACCTGGGCAAACTCACCCCAGGGCTAGGGCGTGGCCCTGGCAGAGCAGGGAAGGCTCTCCACAGGACCCCCTGGTCCCACTGGCCGCACATCGAGGGGGCCGCCCACTGAGGCCGGGAGACCTTGCTCTCCTGCCGCTTCTGGGGGCCCCCGGGTGCTGTCCACCCAGTGCTCGAGGCTGCGCACTGCTGGCCCGGTTCCCGGAGATGGGGATTGGGCTGGGCGCCCTCTTCAGAGCCCCCATTACCTGCCTGGTGAGGTGGGTGGCCCGCCGCTGGGAGCCCCTTCCCCCTGCCCGAGTGACTGCGCAGAGCCCAGACCCCTCTCTGCCTCCCAGGGCCAGGCACCCCCAGCCCAGCCAGACCCTGCACTTGGCTTTTCAAGCTCCTACCAACTCGGCAACACTGGGACCGGCCACTGCCTGGGGCGCAGGCGCTGCTGGGGAACCGCACACCCTATTGGGCCACGCGCCCCATGCGCTTTCTTTCTGGGTCTATACTGGGAGCTCCAAGCGTCAAAGTGGACAGTGTCCAGCCTCGGGCCCCTGGGGCGGCAGTGGCATCCCGTCTGCTCCTGTGCCCCCAGCCGAGGTGCTCAGAGGCTTCCCTCCCCCGAAAGCATGGTTCTCACCCAGGGAGGGGTGGCTAGGCGCCTGCCGGCTGGCCTGGCCCCTTCTGCCCAGGAGGGCTTTGTCCAGTGAGCCCCTGGCACGGGTCCTCCCCAGCCAGGCTGCTCGCCCCCAGCCCGTGCCCTCGACAGCTGGCAACACCGCCCGAGCTCCTCTGACGGGCACGCTTGGCTGTGCTCCCGCGGGTCTGCACACGGCACTGCCGGGCCAGGCCGGCTGTGGGGCTCTGCGCAGACGGGAGGGAGGGAAGATCTTGGGATCTCCCAGCCCCTCCAGGTGTTGCCCTCTAATCCCTCTTCCCAACCCAGTCCCCAGGTTGGTCTGTGAGAAGAAACAGACATTCAAGAACGGTTGGGGGACACATTCCAAAACGGGGGACAACAGGACCCAGCCCTGAGAGCCAGCAGGGCTTAGCAGGGTGGAGATGCCACAGCCACAAGACCCCGGAGGGAGGGCTCGAGCACCAGAGCCAGAGGCGCCGCCGTGCAGAGCCAGGGACCCTGGGCGTGGCTGCTGGCATCTCTGTTCTCCGGTGCAGGAACGATTCCTGTGCCACCTGGACAGACAGGCCCTGGGGTGGCGGACCCTCGCCCGCACCCAGGGCAGTGCTCGGGGAACCGGGGAGTGAGAGGGCCAACTGCACTGGCCTGGACATGGGAGGGTCCAGACCCACACTGGACGCAGCTGTCCCCTCAAGCTGCATGCCATGTCGCCCACGCCCAGGCTAAGACCCAGCCGCCTGCCCGGTGAGCCCCACGCGGCCGTTACCTGTGCTGCGCTGGCTGCCCGCTTCCAGCCGGTCCTCCGTGGCTTCTCTAACGAGCGGCTGGCGCCTTCGGGACGGGCTGCCAGCAATTTGCCATGGGTTTTGTTTGTGAATTTTGGCCCCGTGCGCCCGTTGGCACCCGGGAGGCGCCAGCCCTACCGCTTGGCCATGGCAGGCGTCCATCTTCCCCTCTGCAGCATCCGCTAGCCTCGCCCTCCTCCTGTCCCCGCGGCGCCAGCTCAGACGGAGCTGGCCAGCCTCTCACAGCTGAGTGCAGCCACGCTTCCTTTTTCCATGTTTTGAACGCACACACGTGCTCTGGCACACGCGCATGCGCACACGCCAGGCCCCCCGCTCCTGACGACACGCAGCCCGTCTGTCGGGAGCACTTCCAGCCGAGGCAGCCCGGCGGTGGGCGGTGGAGACCCAGCCTCTGCACGGCTGCCTCTGCCATCGCCTCTCTCTTACGTCAACCTTGGGGAAGGAGACGGACTCAGAGTCACACATGCTCAGAGCCTCCAGACGGGTCCACGTTGTCCCCGGCCTGGCCTGGCCACAGCGTCCGTCCCGCTGGCGCGCTGCCGCGGTGACTACAGCCACTCCCCGTCCTTCCCTGAGGGATGCTCACTCGCGGAGGGCTGAGCGCGGGCCTCGTGCTGGGCAGCCAGCTGGGCGAGTGCGGGGCAGCCTCCTGGAGCCCACAGAGACCACGGCCCCCGCGGACACAGGTGGGAGGCCAGCAGCTCTCGGGACTCTCCCTGCCCCTCTCGGGGACCTGGTCTGGCCGTCTGGCTGGGTGTCCATTTGGGTCAAAGGTCACCCAAGCCAACCACCTGCCCTCCCCTGAGCGGCTGGCCTCGGCAGGAACCTCTCTGATCTTCCGTCTCTAGGCCTTGCTTTGCTCTTCTCTGTGTGAATTCTTTTCCTACCAATTATTCTAAGCGCTTGACAACCGTAATTGGCTTGAAAACTCCTTGAAGTGCCCCAGGTGGACAAGCAGGAAAAGTCACCACTGGACAGTCCTGCTCTGCGGGGCTGGGGCCCAGCGGCCCCCCTGCGCCACCTGGGCCTGGCCCTACGCACCATGCAGGTGGCTCCGAGGTGACCTCCAGGGCAAGCTCTGACCTCGAGGCCACTGGGTGTCCCTCTCTGGACGGTGAGCCAGGACCGCACTCCTCCATATCCTTCTCACTGCTCTGGAACATTCCGGAAGCTCCTGCAGAGGTACTGCTATCCCCTCCCTTCCTGAGAGGCCAACGTGCCCCCTCCTTAGGGGGTCTTCCCTGGCCATGCCTCTTCTTTTTCAATATTTATTTATTTCGCTGCGCCCGGTCTCAGTTGCAGCACGTGGGATCTTTGTTGTGGTGCGCGGAATATTTAGTCGCGTCATGCGGGATCTAGTTCCCTGACCAGAGATTGAACCTGTGCCCCCTGCATTGGGAGCACAGAGTCTTAACCACTGGACTGCGAGGGAAGTCCCATGACCATGCCTTTTGTTTTTAAATAAATTTATTGATTTATTTATTTATTTTGGGCTGCATTGGGTCTTCGTTGTTGGCTCTTAGTTGCTGTGCGTGGGTTTTCTCTAGTTGCGGTGATCGGGGGCTACTGTTCGTTGTGTTGTGCAGGCTTCTCACTGTGGTGGCTTCTCTTGTTGCGGAGCACAGGCTCTAGGCACATGGGCTTCAGAAGTTGTGGCACGCGGGCTCAGTAGTTGTGGCTCGCGGGCTCTAGAGCACAGGCTCAGCAGTTGTGGCTCACGGGCTTAGTTGCTCCGCGGCATGTGGGATCTTCCCGGACCAGGGCTCGAACCCATGTCCCCTGCATTGGCAGGCAGATTCTCAACCACTGCGCCACCAGCCAAGCCCCTGACCATGCCTTTTTTATTTTTTTTTTGTGTGGTACGCGGGCTTCTCACTGTTGTGGCCTCTCCTGCCGCAGAGCACAGGCTCCGGACGCACAGGCTCAGCGGCCATGGCTCACGGGCCCAGCCGCTTCGCAGCATGTGGGATCCTCCCGGACAGGGGCACGAACCCGTGTTCCCTGCATCGGCAGGCGGACTCTCAACCACTGCGCCACCAGGGAAGCCCCCGACCATGCCTTTTTAAAGTGTGTTCAAATACACGTAAAGGTCACCATTGGAACCACGTGGGAGAGCAGAGGTCAGTGGCATCCAGCACGTCCACAGGCTGTGTGGCCACCACCTCCGCCTTCCACCTGGGGCCCCTGCTCTGGCTGTCGCATGTGGCTCCGCCCGCACGCGGCTCCTCTCTGTGACGTGCTTCGAGGCTGCTCCAGGCTGTGGCCCGCGGCGAGGCTGCCCGACTCTGGGGGCTGATTTGGCTCCTTCTTCAATGGCCCTGCCTCCTCTTACGCGCCGGTGGCTCCGTCCATGGTGACCGCAGGGTGTGACCGGGTGGGGCCAGACTCGCTTTGACGAGAATGAAGCTTTTTAGTGACTCAGGATGGTGTGGGACAGGAGGATACACAATTCCCCTAAACACAAGCCGGGTGCCCATCTCGGCCGGGCTGGGGGTCACCCTGCCCTGGCCGCCCCGCCCCGTGGACAGGGCCACGCCACCACCCCTACGCTCTAAGCCCTGCTGGGCGCACCCGGGGCTGTGGGGCCCAAGGCCCACAGACACCCGAGCAGCCGCCGCTGCACCCAGTAAGGCGACACTGGCCATCCGGGCGTGGTTGTCGGAGCTGGGCCACGCAGAAGCCGGGGGAGGAGGGCTCCAGCCGTCCTGCTAAAACGCAGCAGTCAGCTGGCTGACCTGAGCTGGGGAGGGCAGGTGTGGCCGAGGGACGATGAACGACCAGGTGTCCACTGTGGGCCTGGACTGGCGTGCCTAGGGCACGGTCAGCGGGAGCGCAGCCCATCAGGAAGGTGGACCCGCAGCCACGGTCTGACTGCCCAGCTGCACCAGGCAGAGTGACTCCAAGCCCTGTCCTCCCGGGGATGCCCGCGTGTACAGCTGCTGGAGGCTCAGCCTCCCCCACCTGCCCAGCCCCACCTTCCCTGGGGCTCCACCTGTCACGCTGATGTATGGGCGGAGCCAGGGGACCCCCAGCTGGGGTCAGCACCCCACTGCCTGTGGGACTCATGCCTCATCCATCACTGGGGGCTGCCGGCAGGCCGGGCGCGGCAGCTGCGCGAGTGCCTAGTGCATGCCTTCGGAGGCTGCCGAGTGGGCGCTAAGTGCCTCTTGCCCCCGGGCCCTCCCCAGCCAGGGCGGGTGGCCGTGCCACACCCACCCCCCTCAGCCCCCGGAACCCTGGCCAGGTGCCACCTGCTGCCGCCTGCTGTGGCAGAGGGGCTTCTGGTGGTCCGGCTGCAGGAGGGGCGTTCCTGGGGGCTGTGCGGGGGGCAGAGCCAGGCGCAAGTGGGCGGCCCCGCAGTGTTGTGCCTTCTGTGACCCTCCGTGCCTCGGCCTCCTGGCGGATACTGCAGGGCTGGTCACAGGCTTCTGAGGCCTCGGCAGAGCAGGTGTAGGTGCGTGTCTGACCGCCTGCGAGTGCTGTGGACCCACGTGAGCACGTGTGCTGCGGGTGGACCCATGGGGCGCGTCTGGGGGTAGGCGAGTGGGAGAGGGGTCCTGAGTCCTCCTTCCACGGCCCCCTTTCCACCATTGGGGCCCCAGGGGTTGGAAGAGATCTCGGGGTCAGCCCTGCAGCTCATTGTGAGTCCTGCGGCCCCCGCGGCCCTCCCAGCTCTGCAGGGCTGACCAGCAGCATGTGGGTGAGACACTGCCCCAAGCACCTTGGTGCGTCCTGGTCTCTCCCACCCCAGACAGTTCAAGTCGGCCTGACTGTGTGGTCTTGTGTCCATTCCTGTCCTGATTTGCCCTCGACTTGAGGAAACGTCTAGCACAGTAAGTCCTGGAGATGAATGCAATGTGTTCCCTCTCCTTTCCTGCCTTCTCCCTCCGGCCCCTCCGGCCTCCATGCTCTTCCGGGAACCCACGCTGGCTCCTGCCCCAGAACCTTTGCACTTGCTACTCCGTCAGCCTGGAAGACGCTTCCTGCAGGTCTCTGTTCATACGCCAGCTTTGCAGCAACCGCTTCCCAGGGGGAGCCTTCGAGCACTTCTCGCAGGCCCACCCCTACGTGCCTTTTCTCTGAAGTGCTGTAGCTAACGGAGTGCTGTGTTACTGACCCCCAAGAGACCAGCAGCTTGGTGAGGGCAGGTCCACGGTCGGAGAAGGAGCCGCAGGTGCTGGTTGAAGGAAGCAGTGGCGGGAAGGGAGCTCCCCGCCCCTCCCTGCCCATCCATCCATCAGCTGCCCTCTGATGGTGGAGGCCTCTGGTGCCCACTGGGGCTGCCTTGGCGCTGGCCGGGCTGAGGCCCACAGGTTACCCTTCGGGGCCTGCTCTGAGGCCTGCTTGGCGAGCCCCGGCACTGACCAGAGGCGTAGGGCGGGCCTCCAGCGCCAGCTCCTGGGTGGCGGTTACCACCTGGGGTGCTCTCTGTGCGCCAGGCCCCTCAGGTGGTCGTTGCCTGCAGTCACTTCCCCAACAGCCCGGTGATGCCCATACTGCCATCTCCACTTAAAACAGACGAGGAAACCGAGCTGCGGACACAAGGTGCCCGCAACTCAAACCCCGGGGGGCCTGATTACTACACGCCCCACGCCCTGCCTCCGTGGTGGGTGGGGCCACGCGCCCCCAGCTGGGTTGGGTGGGCATTTGCACAAGCGTGCCAGGTCAGGTGCGCTGTGTTGGAGAGCGCGCAGGTTGGCCGGCCTCCGAGGACCACCAGGAGCTGCTTGGCGGTGCCTGCCAGGTTCCGAGGCCTCAGTCCCCCCACCTGGCAGGTGTCCGGCCGCACGTGAGGTCACCGAACTCGGGGAGGGGAGAATGAGCGCCACCCTTTCCGGAGCGGCTCAGCGTGTGATTGTCACCGTGCACACAAAGGTGGGATCGCCTCTTCTGGAATCTGGCTGTGAGTCTCTCGACCTTATTTTATGCCCGTCGGGAACGTTTTGTGACTTTACCCTGGGCTGGTTCTGCAGTCATGCCGGTGCTGGGAGTTTAAGTTGTTGATTTTCATTAAGAAAGGAGGTGCCGTAGAAGTATTTAGGGGTAAGGAGGCATCATGTCTGCAACGTAATGTAGGAGAGAACGATAAGCAAATGTCATCAAATACTAACAATTGAGGGAACCGGGAAAAAGGTGTGTGGACGTTCTTCCTACGATTCCCCCAAATTTTCTGTCAGTTTGAAATTATTTCAAAATAAAAAGTTACAAAATAACACACAAACACACTCTGCTCCTAGAAGAAGTGATGGATGACAGTGCTATCGAGTGGGTTTTTCTCTTTTGGTGTGTTGATGTGAGGAATTCCAAAAATGGATCTTCTCGTATGGAACTGTCCTTGGATTTCTGAATGAACCATACTTGGTCAGCGTGCAGTGTTCTTTCTTATACTGTGAGATTC